GGAACAAAGAAATGAATTCTTCTATGTAAGAAGCTTTCATTGTTCTTCTGTTTTTGATAATGCTGTACCCCTACTGAAATGTCCCAGTGGATGACCTAAAAATTGTTCCAAACATTTGAGCTAAGGAATTAATCGCTCCCAAGCGTGAAGTTCTGGGTTCAAGGATTCAATTTTGAATTAGAAGAAGACTGAAAGGACTCCCTAAGTGGAGCTGACAAGACAGAACCAGTGTATGATGCTCACAGTTAAACATTTGTATGCAACTGTACATCTTGAAGCATAAAGAGGCTAGTAAACTGTCAAAGAAGTACTTGCCCAGTTGTCTCAGGAGGAAGGTACGTTGTGAATAATCTACTTGTGGGACTTGTAAGAGTGAGACACTGAGGCTTGTTAAGTAACTTGCAAGTTAGTAGATAATTTGTGTGGAGAGAAAGAAACCAGCAGGGGATCGAAAACTGTTAAAAGATGCAAAGGAAAAGCTATATGATATGGACAAAGCAGTGAAAGTTTTCTTTTTTCTTTTTTTTAAATTTTCTTACAGACCTTCAAGTGCTGACCTTTGTGCTCCATTAAGTTATTATAAACTTTTGCTGCTCTGCGAACATATAAAGATGTCTCGCAGCCCTGATGCTAAGGAAGACCCTGTGGAATGCCCCCTTTGCATGGAGCCTCTGGAGATTGATGACATCAACTTCTTCCCTTGCACCTGTGGCTACCAAATATGTCGTTTCTGTTGGCATCGTATCCGCACTGATGAGAATGGACTTTGTCCTGCTTGCAGAAAGGTAAATATCCTGGATCAGCAGCTTGTCTTGCATGTATCACAAGGCTCTTGCATTGTGTTGGTACAAGAGACACCCTTTTCCTTTGGGATACGTTCTTCTAATACTGGCCTAGATCGAGGGTGAGGTGTTGGACCTTGCAGATTCTGTCTGCACATGTGTTGAAGCTGTTGTGCAACTCCTAGTCTTGTTTTGTTAATTCAGAACTGGATTAATAGAGGAAGCTGTGGATCAGAACCAAGGCTTGCTGATGTTGGGAGAACTGTCACTAAATGCTGGGAGTTGGGGTGTTGATGCATTGCCAGAGCCTTTTCAGGAAAGACCGTGACAATTCCAGCATCAGGGCTTTGCTGAAGCCTGAGGTTCAGCTAAATTAGAAGAGCTGCCAGAGGCCAGCTCAGAAAGCACCTGCTTGTTCTGTTTATGGCACCAGAGCTTTATCGATAATTTCTGGGCTCTAAACATGTAAATCCTTTGGAAAAATATATCCAATGATGTTTAACTTAAACTTTTCAAATCTAGGCTAAGTCTACTCATCTAGTGTGCTTTCCTTGTTGCCCGATGCTTAAAGGTAGTACTTTGAGGGTCACACTTCTCCCTATCTCTTAATTGATGTCCAGACGATACTCTTTTTTTTTTTGGCCACAGTCATAAACTTCAGCTTCCCTAAGTTGCCTGCTTTTTCCTTTGAATCTTTTTCCCCTCCATTTAGTGTTTTGCTTAACCCTATTACTTTTCTTCAGTGTTTGATAAACTTCTTTCTCAGTATCTCCTTTCCTTTGACTCTGATATATCTTTCTCTCCCAATATGATTGGTCCTTGCCATTCTCTTTTTGTAATCCTAGCTACCTTTGTCCCCTCTTTCTCCTGCTGTTCAACTGTGATCCTCTCAATCTATGCCTTTGGCTCCCTATCTCATATTACATCGATTCTAGCTCCTTTTTGAGGCCCTGAGTAGTCCTATTTGATCTGACTATTAGCATTCACTGCCCCAGCTTTCTAGAAGCACTTCCAGTCTTATTTCTTCCTGTTCTCTTGGGCTTTGGCTACACTAGAGCTATCACGGCTAACCTGTGTTTGGATGACTTTGCAAGCTTGAAGACTGTTCCACAGCAACATACACTTTGTTAACAAACTGCACAGATTTGCTCCAGTATTTGAGCTTTATGTTCTACAAAGAAGATCCATCTGTCATCAACCAGTTGAGTTGCCACATGCGATATCTGCTGTAGAGGGCAAATGTTGTGTAATAATGTTCATAGTACAAGCACGCTTCCATCCTGCTGGTACAAATACAAGATTTGTGGAGTTTCCTAGCCTAAGTTGCTTCACATACCTGGATCTACTGTACTACTTTTTGCCACCAATTACATGGTTCTTCTATGCCTGTTCATATTTGGAAGTTATTGGAATATATCTGCAAAATCACAGAAGCAGTATGCTGTTCACTGTCTCTGGGCATCTGTGGATTCTTTGAAATATGGACGCTGCCACCGCTGGGCCCTGTAATGTGGAATAATCTCGTGTACACCTTCGTGTGCAAGTCTTTTGCTACCCTGGATACAGTTTGCTCAGGCAAAGCAGTTCTGGGAGAAAAGGCAGAATGAGTGAAGGTGCACTGTAACGAGAATGAAGTGCCAACCATGCCGGGAGACCTTTTCCACCATGGATCAGGATCATGCCTTTGATACTTTCTTCATCCACGGACTACAAGATGGTCTTAAGCAGAGCTGCAGCTGTATCGCTGGATTGTAGAAGGTCTGTGGAGAGTGAGGACACTATTACTTCTGTGGTACAGAGATGGATGCTGTAGACTGAAAATCCTGTTGAGATCCTGGCAATAAATCATTTCTTCACTGCTGCCATGAACTGTGCAATCTGGAGTCTGTGATGATGCCACCTTTTGAAGTGTGCTGGACCCTCTGGACCTCTAAACAAGGTATGTGTCTTTGTGGAGTGTGTCTCTCTCTATCTGTGTGTCTTAAGTGATTTCTCTAATTCATACAACAATTGTTTCTTGGTGTTGATCACTTAAAATACTGAAATGCAGAAAATGTCCAAACAGTAAAATTTTTGCAGCCGACTTCATAATGGTTGCTGTGTCCTCAACATATATATCATGTTTTTAACATGTATGCCAATGCAAGGTGCTCTAGTTAACTCCACTGCAATATATGTATAGGAACAGTTCATTTTGCTTCTGCATATTTTGCACAACTGATAGAAAACTGCTGACTGGGCTAAGGACACAGTGTAATGCAGGTTCTCTAATGTTTTCACCACTAGTCTGTGGAGAGGTACAATCAAGAGCTTTTGTATCCAGGGTTCTGTGCTGAAAGGGTTAGAGGGGAGAGCTCAGAAAAGTACATGCTAAAACAGATTGACTGGGAATTCTTAAGGATGGATTTTTGCCATAGGTTGGATAGGTCTTACTATGTGAGAGGAAATAAATATATATGTATATATTTTAGTAGCCAAAGGCAGCTTTACTATCAGTAGACTCACTGATTTCCAGTTGTAAAGCTATATAAATGCAATGACGTTTTTGCCTCTTTAAAATCCAGCTGCCAAGGTAGTGTATGTTATAATGGTGTGTGTCACCTAGGTTGCTTTGATATAGCATGGATACCAGATCTTAATGCCAGTTGCTGCCACTTCTAACTATTCCAAATGGAATAGTTCCAATAGTAAGGGGATGGTGGAAAGAGAAGATTAGTCCGACTCCTTCCCATTTCTTTATTGCTTTGTCCTTCCACCAAAATATATAATTTGATTCACTGTTTGCTGTGCTGTTCTTGGGGTATGGCTTTTGTCATATTTTCCAATTCCTTGATGTAAGGATGCAACCTGCTGTTGGAGGTGGCTAAAAATAGTAAATCTATTAGTTTCTTGGTCATAAATCTGTATTCCCCTCTTGGGCACACTCCTCCTGTCTCCATGTGAAGGTAATACCTGTTTTAAGTGTACAATCCTCAAATGTCAGCAGTAGGATTAAAAGCACTGGAGGAAACTGGTCTGCTTGGTAAAACAATTGATATTCAGAAATATATAGGATATCACTACTTTTGATTCTTGATATAACAAGTGTGGTGCACACTATACATAAACCTTAACTTTTTGTGTTTTTTTTTTCATTTCAGAACGTATTTGGTAGCAAAGAAACAACTGGAAAATGTTGGTACATCCATTATGTGGAAGGAATGTGACCCCATCCAGATAAAACCCAGCTCTACTTTCAACAATTGGGAAAATGTGGGAGGGAAAGTCTGGAGAGGAGAAGAAGAACAGAGAAACTTTATATGATACAAAAAAAACTTAGTCAGGAAGACTAAGAAATCACCAAGGGCCACCTCTGATTAAAGAAACAAGACTGCGGAAGAGATATTCTTTTTATTTTATTTTTTTTTTTTTTTTTTGATGAAGTACTTAGGAGACTATCAGCAACTTGCAGTTAGTGTGAACTTAAGTCTGGTCATTTTTGCATGTTGACACTTCTTGTTCAGGTGCTTTTCATGGTTTTTGCTGAAGAGGATTTATAACTCAGGAGGAATGTCTGCTGAATTTAGTCAGTGAATCAGAGGTGTTGGCATCTCTACCTTCTACACCTGAAAATATCTAAGTCAACATTTAACCTGGCTACTCTTCCTGCATTTCAAATTCTCTACTAGCTAAGGCATCTGTGATAGTAACTTTAATTGCTTTTTGTTTTGCTTGTTAGCTGTCAGGAACATCTAGTCCCTTGTTTTACCCCATACAAAATAGAATTCGTGCTTGTCTTAGGTGTGCCTAGGGTTGTCATCTCTAATGGTACGTCTTTGAAGTCTGGCCGCTTTTGCTGTTCAAGACTTGTGAGTTTGATAGCTGCCTTCTCACTTTTTCATAGTGTTGTTGGACAGAGCCGAGAGGATGGTGTGATACTGAGAGACACCAACAAGTCACTGTGCCTGGGCGCCTGGCTTCCCGCGCCCCATTCCCCCTGCTTTTGGCGAGTGCTCTGCCTGTAGCCGAGCCGTCCTCTGAGCTGTGGAGCTTCATCGCTGGGAAGCAGTCACTCTGTATATCTGTAGAATGCCTTTAGAGCTGCATTCAAAAGGAACAGGTTCTGGTGCTCTGCTTTTACCAGCCTTTCTCCCCTTTTAAACACACAAGCTGTCTTGTTACCTCATACTATCAAATGGGAGAATTGTCTAAGAATTGATGTTCTGATTTATGCCTGAGAGTGAGAAAACATGCGTAGGTTCTTCTGTAGCTCTTGCATGTCAAGATACCCAACTGTCCATATTCCTTAGAAGCACTGGTCATAAGTAAAATACGTGCATGAAACATTTCATACATAATATACCTCTGCAGTATCCACTGAAAACTTATGATCATCATGCTGCCCAAATACATACTGTTATTTAGGGCGGCAAATCAGTTGCTGCTGCTGCTTAGTTATTGAAATCTTTATTCAGATGGTCTCATATAAGCTCTTTTTCTTCCCCTAATTCTGAAGTTACTGTTGCTGTTAGTCCTGTTCCTCCGAGCAGCCTCCATACTCTGCTGTACAAACTACTAGTTCTATTGTGGAGAGCAAAATGGTTTGCTTGACCTTTTACCTCAGTTAACTAAGAATGCTTCCCAACCAATATTCAGGACATCCAGCAGCAAATTGCTGTGCAGAGGAGGAACATGCTCTTTAACCTGCTTCTCACTCAAGAATATGCTCCAAATGTGGTTATATCTGGCAAGAAAGAAGCAGGTGAACTTTGAGACTCTGTTGGATCTCCAGAGGCCTTACCAAGCCACCAATTTATTCATTTCTTGTGCAGTAGCAGTGAACAGGATGCTTGAGGGCTTTGACTTCTATAGTATGTGGTTTGAAGGAGGTACTGTGTTTGTAAAAAGATGGCTTGTGGGGAAGATACTGCCACACTTTGTGTAGAGCAAACCATTTTATTTTTGGAACTGCATCTACCTTGTGCAGGTGCCCTTCTTTTCCCATTCCTAGCTGAACTGTGGTTGACCGTGATCACAGAACAAATTTTCTCTTTGCTGGTGCAGTCTCTCCCCCTTAGAACAAAACAGCATCCTGTATGCTATGTGTTTGACTTGCACAGACTTTGATAAGGTCTTTACGTAAATGAAATGCCTTCTAGAATTATTTTGCTGCTTTTCTCTAAAGTCCTCTTGGGGTGCATTTGTTGCAACAAAACTCAAAATAATGGATGTCTCTAATTTTAAATGACCTTACTAATGCGGAGTGTTGCTGTTCTTCCAATACATCAAGTGAAATCTGCTCAGTAACATAACTTTTTGATAAACGTTTGGTTTTTAAGGGTAACTTGAATCCATGTTGTATTTTCATGGGAAAGGTTTATGTGTGCCTTTGGCTAATGCCTAGATATCTTAGGAGCTTACACTCCTAAGTGCTAATAAAAACATTTCATGTGTTTCGTAGAACTCTGTGTTGAAACATTAGACACCATCTACTGGAGTCAAGTGCAGCATATTTCCAGAAGGTGTCTCAAGTGCAGCATCAAGATGCTGGACTATAAACTCTTCTGTCTTCTAATGCTAAAATTTATCTTTGAGGACGTTCTCAGAACGTTATCAGGGTGAAGTGCTTGATGGCCCTTCCAATTGCACCATGCAGTTGAGAAATCGATGCTTTTAACCTAGCCTTCCCTTAATCTGCTCCTGTAGATTTCCCCAGGTCAAGCCATGTAGTATGATTAATTTTGTGTGTTACTATTAACAGTGGGCAGTAGGGGGGGAAATTAAATTTATTTCTGGATCTATACCCTAAGCTCTTTGATTATGGTAGTTCAGGGGAAGAACTTACCTAAATTCCTTGCATTAATGCCCATCTCTTACACTCCTCTAACTTGGAACTAAATATTACACTCAGAACTCAACTTGGTTTAGAAATAATTATTTTTATATATCTTTATATATCTTCTTCTGTGCTTAGTATTGCTTTATTTAGAAGCATGAAACCTAACTTTTCAATATGGAAAAAGTGGGAAAGGTAAGGAATATAGGACTGCTTTGAGGAGTAATATGTGCTACAGTTTACAAGACTGAAACTGCCTTTTACTCAATGGATGCATCTTCCAGATGACTAGAACAGTCTTGATAGGTAACTCTGAGGATGTTGTTTTGTTTTTGCTACTTCCTCTTGAGATTAAAAAGCATAAGTGTTGTGTCTGTTTTGGAGGAGCTATCTGTAGATGATGATCTTGAGGTTGAAAATATAACTTTGTTCCAGAAAGCTACAAGCTACAAACCAATACACAAACATGGCGAGAATATAGATATAATGCAATGAAATAACTGGATTGGAACCTCTCTCTTCACTGGGAGAAGTTAATGATGTGAATGCTCTTCACTGGGAGAAGTTAATGATGTGGAGACCGAGCCGTATAATGGTGATGTCTTGACTTTAGGTCCCTGATTGCAGTTGTATTTTGATATATATATATTTTTCCACTACTACCCTTATTCCATGTTTTCTTTTGTGTATTTTTTGTTCTTTTTTTTTTTTTTTTTTACTACACTTGAATTATTTACATCTGTATTGGACAACGTGAGTATGCAGGGCCTTGCCTTTTACCTTGCTTACTCTGCTTTGTTAATAAAATCTCAATAGGTTTTATTGACTCTCAAGTTGTTTTTGTTCTTAGCGTTAACAGACTAGGCAGCAGAATGCAGATCTTGGTAGCTTCAGTATTAAATTGGCAAGTAAGAGAATTCTATGAAAATTACACAAGATGCCTCCTCCTTCCCACCCTCAAGACTGAGTATATTACTTTTATAAACGTGGCTAACCATAACAATTATAAGAGGATAACATAGCATGGAAGGTTGTGTTAGAACAGCAGGATTCATGTTTTTTAGGCATATTGTTTCTTAATTGGGTTGTTTTTAATGATGTTTATTGTATTTAGCCATACCCAGAAGATCCAGCAGTGTACAAACCACTCTCCCAGGAGGAGCTGCAAAGGATAAAAAATGAAAAGAAACAGAAACAAAACGAGAGGAAACAGAAGATATCAGAGAACCGCAAACACTTGGCCAGTGTACGGGTTGTACAGAAGAACCTTGTCTTTGTGGTAGGGCTATCTCAGCGCCTAGCAGATCCAGAGGTGAGCACTTCATACTTGCACATCTTGCTCTTGACTTTGACAGGCAACCATGGGAACATCCTTGTGCCCCTAGTTGCATCTATTGAATGGGAGCCTTCTAAAACCTTCCTGATGCTGGGGTCTGCTTCCTCTTCCTCCTCTAAAATAGGCTTGGCAGATGGTGTTTTGTTTTTGAGAGCACAACTGCTCTGTCTTTAAAGAAATTGTTCTTAGTGTTAGTTAAAGATGGCTTCTTTTTGACCTAAAATGAGTTAAGGATTTTAGGCATTTGCCTGTGCTGACTCTACACAGCTGTGTCACAGCTGTTCTAAAATGAGAGCTAGGTCAGATTATAAAGAACAAATATGAAAGTGTAGTACAAACCTGTAAAGACAAAAGGAAAAAGCCAAGACAGAAAATGAAGTGTAACTAGGAATGAGCATAACAGTAATGTAACTTGACAGAGAAAAAAAAAATCAGGGGACACCTGAGAGGATTGGCTCGATGACCTGCCTCATCAAAAAAGTTTTTATTTTGATAAAATTGCTTAAGATGTTCTCTCTACTTCCATCATCAAAAAGTCAACTGCAGATAGCTAATGGATTTAATGCTAGTAAGAGTACCTTCAGCAAGAACATGGAAGGAGTGATCAACTGGGCAAGTCAGGTTAAGTTCATCATGTTAGTCTAAAATTGTCTGGAAGCATCTCAAAAGTGGCTATTTCCCTAAGCTGAGTATGGGTGGCATTTTGGTAGATGGGAAAAGAGCAAATGTAAAAGCTGCTTTTGTGTAGGGGAAGGAAAAAGAAAGAGTATGTGGAGGGAATAGAAAAATCAACCTTAAACTGATAACACTTCAATCATAACACTTCAATTTCTGTAAGAATTTAGCAACAAATTAATCAGCTCTGTGTTTGTGAGCAGCTGTCAGCCCTGGCTTGGTGCTAGTTATTACTGAGTATTGTCAGTCATCTTTGAGTAGGTGCCTGAAGATGGGCACTCTGCCTTTCAGAAAGGCAGAGATCGATAGAAGGGTGCTCAGAAGGCTCTACAGAGACTGAAAACATGCCCTGTAGTCTTACAAAACTTTCCAAATATGATTAGTGTTGTTAGATTGTGCAGATAGGGCTGCTTCCTTGAGGAGGGAGAAAAGCTGATTAGATGAGATTCAACTGTGTTATCCAGTTGTGATGTGAAGTCGAGGCTGGGGAAGCAAGCTGGAGGCTTCTTTTTTTTCTCTCTGATTATTGCTCAGGACTAGAAATACCCTTTGCTTATCTACCTTCAGTCTTAATAGCTGGTACTTCTGCACAACCTTTCAGCAAGGAATAGAGAAATACCAGCTTTTAGTACTATGTATAAGGCACGTGCTCAAGTTTGCTGTCATACATGTAGGCATTGTTCAACAAAGGTGCTTAATGTGCTGCAGATGTTTCTGCTTTTCATGGGATCGCTAAGTGGTGTTACCACTAACTGATGCAATGACATGTGTGTTTTGTTTTTTCCCTTGGGGGATTTGATATCCATTCATTCATTGCAGTGCAGTGCTGATTCTAAAGTCTCTTTTCTTGACCCTTGGAAGTCTTGTGCTTTGTCTTCCTGTACTTAAGAAACTTAAATTCAACATATACTGTGGAATATGCCTCATTCTGGTTCTTTATTGCAGTTGGAACATAAATTCATGTTTTAAATGACAATCTCTTTCATTGGGGAACAAGTGTACATGCTTTCCTTATTTGAAAAGACCTGTTTTTATTGGACATCCTGGTGGCATAGTTACCTAGAACAATGACAAATCTATTAAAGTTAATCTTCTGATAAACTGCTTCACTTCTCTTTTCTTATAGGTTTTGAAACGACCGGAATATTTTGGAAAGTTTGGCAAAATACACAAAGTTGTCATTAATAACAGCACATCATATGCAGGGTCACAGGTAAGTCTGTAAAAGCTCTTGTGATTTTATCCTTTTTAAGAAAAAGATGGTTTGGAGTGTATATGGGCTCCCTATTTCTGAGTAAGCAGTAGGTTAAAGGAGTAAAAAGAGAATGTACAATATTGTAGAACTCGGATTTCAGTCAGTAACGGGGCCATTGCCTATCAGACTCTCAAAGTTTGGCTGCAAGATACAGAGAGCAAATAGAAAAGTTTAAAAAGCAGGCGACAGGTAAGACCTTCAAACAAGCAGCAGTATGCTATTTATTTGCTGTTTCCCATTTTAAGGTACAACTACACACCTAAATTTGAGTTTAATGTTTTTGTCACTTCCCTTTTAATAATGTCTGAATATAGCAGTTTAGAAAACAAGTTGCCATACAAATATTTCGTCTTTCCAGAGGGAAAAAAAAAAACAAAGGTATGTTTTCTTTCTAGGGTCCAAGTGCCAGTGCATATGTAACCTACATTCGGTCAGAAGATGCTCTCAGAGCCATACAGTGTGTCAATAACGTGGTGGTAGACGGCAGAACACTTAAGGTGATAATATTTTTACATTCTCATCCATATGTTTTAGCACACTAATATCAATGTGTATTTTAAGATTTTATTTCTGTAGATAGGTTTGTGCTTGTGAACAAAAATGTCCAGTTAAGTGAGTTACTGATTTTTGACCTATTTTCCAAGTATTAATCATGCTGTTGAAATTTAGTGAGCTCTCAGCTGATAGGGGTTTGGCTAATAACATCTTAAAAGCAGTAGCTGAGCAGAAGAAATGCCTCCCTTCACTTTGCCACATGAATCTTTTGCTGTGTAGCTTAGAACCATGGTGTGAAAACCTGATACTTGCTTTTGCAGAACACTTCTACAATCCAAAGACATGGAGTGTTATTAAGGAGGAATATACTTCTGCAGTAATCTTGGTGGCATTACATGAGCCTTAGGTTTCTCCTCATTCAAACTTTCTAGTATGTTAATGTCCTGTGAACTGTGCTCCCAAACAATTCCTGTGGTGGTAAATCTGTCACTGTCATAGGCATCCCGTCTTCATTCATATTAATAGAAATAGGCAGTTCCAGAAATAAAGCCCAGGTTTATTATGGAGAGGTTTAAAGTTAACTATGGTAACAAATCTGTTTTGCTGTTGGATGTTGGTGCTTTTTTTTTTTTTTTTTCCTTCCCTCATAAATGTGCTTCACTTCCTTGTTATTGGACTGACTTCCCTCTCTCCTACCCCCTGCACTAAGCTTTCACTTGTTTTGCACTCTAATACTAATATCTCTGTAAAAACAATGAGACCTGTTTTCTACTTGACCATTTTAAAATCCATGCTGGGATCTTACAGGACTTTAAAAAAACAAAACAAAAAAAACCAGACAAAAACAAACAAAACCTCTCAAAGACTCCATGGGAGAATTAAGTATTACATTTTGGTGCCTATGTAAACAAGTGTGCATGTTGACTTAGCCAAAATGGTGGCTATTAAAAAATCTAATGTCCTTGATACCAAATTTTAAATGGACTAATGTAATACAAATTAATCATTACAGCCTTTGTTATTCAGTTCCTTGTGAATAGGAATGCAAATATTAACTAAGCATCTCTTTTGGAATTTATTTAGATGTGAATATAATTAAAATTTACTTAGGTAATGTGTTTTTTTGTAAACAAGTTCTAGTTTGATCAAAAAATAATTTTGATGAAACTCTGGTTTTGAGGAAGAAACTATTTTTAGAAGTATGTTTCTTATTTCCTTGTACTGTAAATAGGACTCTTGCTGAACTTTATTCAACTGTTTTTTTTTCTTTTCTATTCTTCAGGCATCATTAGGTACAACAAAATACTGCAGTTATTTTCTAAAGAATATGCAGTGTCCAAAGCCAGACTGCATGTATCTACATGAGCTGGGAGATGAAGCAGCCAGTTTCACAAAAGAAGAAATGCAGGTGGGTGTAAATAATGGAAAATGTGTGAACTGTAGCACATAGATATTTTGCTGTATATAGCTTATTCTGGAATTTGTATAATGTGTTCTGCCTTTGACTGTTGTGGCAAAAATGAATTTTGAGTTGCAAAAGATGCTTAACAAATTGGGTATGAGAAGTTGGTAGTTGGTGGACTACTTGGCAGCCTTTAAAAGCACTACAATGAAAACTTACATTACTTACTTACAAAACTTACTTACAAAAGTGTTGGAGTGCTTAAATGGGTGGAGGCAAGCTCTTAACCAAGAATTCAAATAACCTACAATGTGCCTTTTCTCATAGGGATGCAAGGTAGCATTTGTTACTTTGAATTTCAGTGGAAAAAGTAAGGCAAATCTAGATTTTCTTGGTGGTTTTATGAATATGATCATTTTCCTGCCTTGCTACTGGTGGTGTGAGCACACGTCTAAATTTTAATAATGTTTTTAGCCTGTAAAAAGTATAGAAAAAATTTCAATTACAACATTGTGGATAACTATAACAAAGCATAATACTGTTGTCAAGTAATGTGGTGGTGTGTGTTTGCTTGCTCTTGTTTTGTTTTTCTTAGTCATAGCATTTGCAAAATTCTTATTTAGAGTAAGGAAGCAAGTAAATTTATAGCTTAACTGCCTTAAGGATGGTGCAGTCTGAAGAACTGTCTTTTCAGTCTGAATTTGTTTATCTGTATAGAGAGCGCTATGCAGCTTTCAAACTTAAATCTCAAATATGTCCATTTTGCATCCATGCTATGCTGTAATAGAAGATATTCACATGTGGTCTATCCATGGAGCACGTAGTCCCCACCCCTTCCTCCCCAATGCTATCACAAATGTTATACAAGTAGATTGCAATTCAGTTTTGATAGGTCGTTCTAAAATGAGGGAGAAATATCTGTATCTCTTACATTTTTTTTGTAGATTATCTGTTGTTTCTGAGGACTTCAGCCAGATTTTCAGAAAAAGTACCCTGCTCTAGCAGGAATAGTCCCTGTGTGTGTGTATGTGTGTTCAGGTATATATTATACATATATATATGTATGTATATATCTCAGATAGTGACAGCATTTCTGCAGCTCATTTTTCCATATTTCCCTCACCATTTCAAGTTAAGTGCACGTGCATAGTGCACAGGCATGTTTGAGGGTATATTCCTGCT